TGCCGGTAAGGGAAGGTGGAGAATGAGGTGTCCTTTCCCTTTTCTCCTCCCACCCTTTTCCGCTGCAGGTTCCGGGAGCCTCACCCACAAATGCAGCAGCACGAAACACCGCATCATCTCTCCCAAAGTGGAGCCCCGGGCTTTAACCCTGACCTCTGTCTCCCGCCCCCACCCCCCTGAGCCTCCTCCGCTGATCGCCCCTCTTCCCCCAGAGCTCCCCAAGGCACGTACTTCCCCTTCTTCTTCCTCCTCCTCTTCCTCCTCTTCCTCAGGCTTTGCGGAACCCCTAGAGATCAGACCTAGCCCACCCACCTCTCGAGGGGCGTCATCCGGAGGAGGCACTGCAATCCTCCTCCTGACGGGACTGGAGCAGCGCACTGGGGGCCTGACACCCACCAGGCACTTGGCCCCCCAAGCTGACCCCGGGCCTTCCGTGAGCTTGGCCGTGGTCGTAGGATCCGAGCCCCCTGCCCCACCAGCTCCTCCCAGCCCTGCTTTCGACCCCGATCGTTTTCTCAACAGCCCCCAGAGGGGCCAGACGTACGGAGGGGGCCAGGGGGTGAGCCCGGACTTCCCCGAGGCAGAGGCCGCCCACACCCCCTGCCCTGCCCTAGAACCCGCTGCTGCCCTGGAGCCCCAGGCGGCTGCTCGGGGTCCCCCTCCACCGCCAGGAGCAGGTGGGAGAAGAGGAAACCGTTTCTTTATTCAAGATGACGGTAGCGGGGAGGAGCTCAAGGCCCAGGGGGCTGCCCCACCCGCACCTTCACCCCCTCCTTCGCCCCCACCTTCACCTGCCCCCTTGGAGCCAGCAGGCAGGGGAGGCAGAGGGGAGGCCTTGTTTGGAGGAGCTGCTGGGGCCAGCGAACTGGAGCCCTTCGGTCTCTCGTCATTCCCTGACCTCATGGGAGAGCTCATCAGCGACGAGGCTCCAGGCGCCCCTGCCCCAGCCGCCCCACTCTCTCCTGCTCTTAGCAGCATCACGGACTTCTCCCCAGAGTGGTCCTACCCGGAGGTGAGCCTCAGGCCTCGCTCCCCTATTTTTCCTACCCACGCCGCCACTTGGTTTCCCTTGGTTTGTGTGACCACTCGCTTGTCCCACCCTATTTTTGCTGTCTCCCTAGTTAGCCCTCCCTCCTGCCTTCCCCCCCTCTGCGGGCCAGGTGGCGTGGTGTGGGTCCCCCAGGTGCCTGGGGAACTTTGTCCTCTCGGTGACTGTGTCACAGGCAGGGCACTAGGGCGGCCCGGCCTGGAGAGAACATGACGGGGTGTGATGGCAGAGTCTGCCTTCAGCAGTGGAGAAGTCCCGCTCGCTCTCAGCTGCCCCACAGAGGGGAAGGACCATGGGAGCCTCAGGCAAGGGAAGCAGTGGGTTCCCCGATCTGGGCAGGAGCGTCGGGAGGAGGCACAGGCTAGCTGACCTCTCCCTGCTGCAGCCCGCCCAGTCCGTGTACCCGGAATCTAGCACAGGGCCCCGCCCTGCAGCACTAGTGCCCTCGATGAATGGGTGCACGAGTGAGCACCCCACAGGGTTCCGGTCACACGGTGCCCGGCCTTCTCTCTGCAGGGTGGGGTCAAGGTGCTCATCACAGGTCCCTGGACTGAGGCCGCCGAGCATTACTCCTGTGTCTTTGATCACATCGCGGTGCCAGGCTCACTCGTCCAGCCTGGCGTCTTGCGCTGCTACTGTCCTGGTATGGGGACCAGGGATGGCACGGGGACTGGGGACGGCAGGATAGCACCTGGGCGGTTAGCTTCCAGGAAGTGCTGGGAACGACCCTGTCGGATCTTGAGCCTGAGTCCTGTGTCCCCGCAATGGGCAGATGTTCCCCAGGCTTATGTGTCAGAAGGTCTAGGCTCTGGTCTGAGGAATCTAGTCCTCGGCTCACTGGTGGCCTCGGACAGGTCCGCTCCTTTCTTGGGTCCGTGGCCGCCCCTCCTTTGGGGGCAGGCATTTGTCCTGACGGGTCTCCAGTGTCCATCCAGGCCCTCTGGCTTGGTTCGAGTCAGTCTCTGGTTCCAGTCCAGGGAGCATGAGAAGGGAGACGCGTTGGTCTCCTCCAACCCGTCCTGGACCGAAGGACATTGCCTTCTAGATCTGGGCTGTCCGGTATGGTAGCCATCAGCCACATGTGCCTGAGACTAATTAAAATGAAATAAAATATAAAATTTGGCTCCTGCCTCTCGCGAACCACATTTTGAGTGTTCAGTAGCCACACGTGGCTTAGCGCTCCCCCACTGGGCGGTGCAGACACAGAACCTCTCCACCGAGGTGGTCCGTCTGCCACCACCTTGCCTCCTTACCGTGCACCCAACAGTCAGCGTTACTGGGACCTCAGGGGCCACCAGAGTGACAGGATGACAGGTTTGCCGTCTGTGAGTGTGTTCCCCCACCCCCACCCCGCAACAGCCTGGTTCAGCGTTGCATGGAAGGAAAAGAGAGATCAGAGAAGCTGGGATCAGGGGTGGTTTTGGCCTCTAGTCTTGGGACCCCGGCCTGGTGGTGTCGTTCTCGAGGCCACAGAAACGGAGAGCCTGGGACACAGCTCTCACTAGACACTGCTGGTGAGCAGTTACGTCTTTTCCGCCAGCCTCATCATGGGCTCACGACCTCTGGACTCTGACCTTGGGGGATCAAACTTCTTTGTAAGCGTAGGTGTCTCCTGACCCTCAGCTTCCAGGCCTTGGTGCTGAATAAGCAGCAGAGTCTGCAGTCCCTGGTGTCCCTGGCCCATAGGAGGTTTGAAGTTCCTGAACGGAGTGGAGTCCCTTCCCCATCAGGACCAAGGCCACTTAAGCAAGGGTGGAGGGGAGCCGGCTATGAAATGACCATGTGTGGCCTTCACGTGGGGGCCAGAGAAGGAACCAGGGAGAGAGCCCATCTTGCTGACCCTGCCCTCCCCAGCCCATGAGGTGGGGCTGGTGTCTTTGCAGGTGGCGGGGCGGGAGGGGCCCCTTTCCGCCTCTGTGCTCTTTGAGTATCGAGCCCGCCGATTCCTGTCACTGCCTAGTACTCAGCTTGACTGGTTGTCTCTGGACGGTGAGTACGTAGCCCTCCGACCCCTTGGCAGGCCCCGCAGCCTTTGAGGACGTGCTCCAAACCCCTCAGGACTCCGGTGGCCACCGCCCAGCCCCCAGTTTACCCCCCTCTTCCCAACCCCTGCGTCATTGGGCATCTCTAAATGCAGCAGCCATTGCCCCCCCCCCCCCCAATCTCCTCTTCTCCGGAAACCTCGGAGCCGTCTCTGTCCCAGCTCTTGGCCTGTCCTCTGTCCCAAAGATGGGCTCTAGGCAGGCGAGGCCAAGAGGCGGGAGCAGGGACAGGGTGTGGGGCGGTGCATGTGGGGTGTCCACAAGCGTGTGTGTATGTACCTATGTGTGTATTTAATTTCCTTCCTTAATTTTCTCTCTAGTTATGAAGATAGGTGGTTGCTGTAAGAAAATTAGGAATAACAGAAAAGCATGCGGTAGAAAATGAAAATTGCTTGTAATGTTACCACTTGGTGACATTCGCCTTTAATGTACTTTCTTGCACGGACAGAGGCGCACATGCTCACGCATATGTGTATCAAGTCTAGACCCACGTGTGTTCCTTATGGGTTATCCCTCCCGTGGCTTCCAGCTGTTTCCCTGTGGCACCTGCTTCTCCTGGTCCTGCAGGTGCCCCTCTCCCCCCACCCGGACTTCCTCCCCTCAGCGCCCTTGCCCCCCAGCCCCCATCTGCCTCACTCTTGGGGGCGGTCCCCCCACAGCCTGGCCTGCTCGTGAGTTCTGCCGTGGCTGCTCCAGGCCTATGTGTTCCTGGCTCTCCTGTGGGGCTCCACCCTCCCCCTGCTCCTTGGACTAGTGTCCTGACTTGCCCCTCTTCTTCCCTTCCTCTTGCTTGTTCGGTGCACCCCTCCGCTCTCCGGCCCCTCCTCTCCTCTCCTTCACCCGGTTTACCCTCCTGCCCCCTCCCTGGTCTTTCTGTTCATTCTCCACTCCCCACCCCCATCACCTCTTCCTTAGTCCCCCTTCTGTCCTGGCATCTCCAGTGGGACCTCCTCAACCTCCATCGTGTCTCTGTGCATGTTTTCCCACGGCCCCGATCCCCTCCCGCCTCCCCTCCTTGTCCTTGTGTGATCTCAGGAGGGGACAGATATAGCTTGGGGTGTGTGCGCGCGCGTGTGTGTGCTTTGTGCACAGGGTGGGGGAGGAAGAGGAGGAATGGACGTGGCCGTCCGCCTCTGTCACCTTCCAGCCCTGCCACCCTCTTTGTGGACAGCTGCCGGAGGACTGGGAGGAGGGGGTGGTGCTTTTTAAATCACAGCCCTTGAGCTCTCTGGGCAGTGGATAAGAGAGAAGAGGGGCCCGGTGTCCTTCAGCCCCAGCATGGGGGACAGAGGTAGCATCTGGGGCCAGGAGAGCTGACGGAATAGTGCGTCTAGAAGGCTGGGGGTGTGTGTGAGTGAGATCTGGGCCGGCTTGGGGCCGCAGGCTGTTTGGGAGTTCCCACCGTGTCTGCGTCTCAAAGGACACAGTTCTGGTCCCCGGTCAGTGGGTAGCGTTAAAAGCCCCCGTTTAAGGCCTGCGTCCCGATGGACCGTATTCGGGGCGGGGAGGGTGGGGCAGAGGGGCCGTCGTTCTGGGGGAGAGGAAAGAACGTGAGTCTGCCTCTTCACCCCCAGAGCCTGGGACAGGCCCAGTCGTGTTCGGGGCATCACCCGGACCCTACCCACCGCTCAGCCTCCTCCCGTACCTCTTGCCCCTCAGACAACCAGTTCCGGATGTCCATCCTGGAGCGGCTGGAGCAGATGGAGAAACGGATGGCCGACCTGGCAGCAGCCGGGCAGGCTCCCTGCCACAGTCCTGCCGTGCCTCCGATTCAGGTACCTGTGTGAGGAGGGAGCTCGGGAGGGTCTTCCCGGAGGAGATGGCTCTCTTGTGTGGCTCTCCCGTCCCCGGCTTCCTCCTCCCTGACGTCACCCCACTCCGGCTCCACCGCGGGGCGGGAGTGGCTATTCTGGGCACCCTCTTGGCACGACGGGCTTCAGACTATTTCTGATCTGAAGAGGGTGGGGGGAGGGGGCCAGGAGAGCAGGGGCCCAAGTCTCCGAGGAAGCAGACGGGGAGAGGACTCTGGGCTCCGAGAGGGAGAAGCCGTCTGCGGGGGAGGAAGCTAACTGGGGGTGGGGGACACCCAGGACCCCAAACCAGGGACACGGATGGCCCAGAGAGCTCTGGGTGGCAGGAAAGCTGGTGCAGGAGGTGTGGGGAGGGCAGGACAGGAAGCGGAGAGGACAGGGGTGGGGTGGCCAGGGCCATCCTGAGCCAGGGGACCAGACGCTCGGGTCCCTGCACAAGGGTATCTGTACTGCAGGATGAAGGCCAGGGACCCGGGTTCGAGGCCCGTGTGGTGGTGTTGGTAGAGAGCATGATCCCTCGCTCCACCTGGAGGGGTCCTGAACGTCTGGCCCACGGAAGCCCCTTCCGGGGCATGAGCCTCCTGCACCTGGCTGCCGCCCAGGGCTACGCCCGCCTCATCGAGACCCTGAGCCAGTGGCGGTGAGCAGGGCAGCGGGCAGGGGGACTGGGGCAGAAGTACCAGGGGACGGAGGAGGGACCAGAGGACCCGGAGCCCCACCAAGAGGGAAGGATCTGCACTTGTGACAGACTCTCAGCCCCTCACATTATGCGTCTCTGACCGTCTTGCTGCACCGACCTCGGTGCTTCTGGACAGCCTGCCCTCCTCCCCCGTCCCTTTGATCCTGATGCGCCTGCTTTGCCCGCTTTTACCGACTGGGCTCGTGTCCCTGTCCCAAACCCTCTAGGAGCGTGGGGACAGGGAGCCTGGACTTAGAGCAAGAGGCTGACCCGCTCAACGTGGACCACTTCTCTTGCACCCCTCTGGTGAGCGTGCGTGGGGCAGCGCGGGCCAGGCGCGTGGCCGTGGGAAAGTGTCGAGGGACGCAGGGAAGGAGCCGGTGGAGCTGGGAAGTGAAGACCCGGCCTGGGGAGGAAGGGCCCCGGGCCTCACGTCCACGCTCTCCACCCTCAGATGTGGGCCTGTGCCCTGGGACACCTGGAAGCCGCCGTGCTCCTCTTCCGCTGGAACAGACAGGCGCTGAGCATTCCCGACTCACTGGGCCGGCTGCCCCTGTCCGTGGCACAGTCCCGGGGCCACGTGCGCCTCGCCCGCTGCCTGGAAGAGCTGCAGAGACAGGAAGCTTCGCTGGAGCCCCCACTTGCCCTGTCGCCCCCCTCCTCCAGCCCAGACACTGGTGAGGGTCGCCCCCGATCTAAGAGGCTGTGGGTGGGAGAGCGAGAGGAGGAGCAGGGAAGAGGAGAGGGGGGTGGGAAGAACGATCTGGGAGGGGTCATGGAGCTCCTGCTGCCCTTGCCTCTCCCCTGTCCTTGCAGGGCTGAGCGGGGTCTCGTCGCCCTCAGAGCTGTCGGATGGCACATTCTCTGTCACATCAGCTTATTCGAGCGCCCCGGACGGTAGTCCTCCCCCCGCTCCTCTGCCGGCCTCAGAGATTCCGATGGAAGAGACTGTCCCAGGCCAACTCTCCGCTGGGGCCCCTGAGGCCCCCCTATTCCTCATGGACTGTGAAACCACCAACTCCCAAAGGCCAGCACCCTCACCGCCTCCTCTCCCACCAACCACCGAAGGGGGGACTGCTCCTGAGGAAGCAGACGGCCCACTGGCCGTGGACGTGATCCCGGTATACTGCTCGTGCTCGTGCTCACTGACAGTAAAGGCTAGAAATGGCACGGGGTGGGGGGTGGGGGGTGGGGGGTGCGGCAAGACTGAGCAGACGCTGATCATCCCATGAAGCAGAACCTGAGTCTGGCTTCAGTTTGGGAGGAAAGGGCCGTTTACCTTTATTTTGGGACGGGCAAGGCAACCCTCTGCTTAACTCCCGTCAGACCTTGTGACTCAGAAGTCATGAGGTGTCAGAGATCAAAAATTCTAGAGAACAGCCTCAGCTGGAGCTGGGCTGAGAGGTTACCTGCTGGTCCGTGCAGAGATGAGGTTTTGGGGGAAGCAGCCTGACGGAGGGAAGCGGGTGCTGTGTGGAGCAGAGGCTGAGAAGCTGGCGGGTCTGGCAGAGATCTGGGGTGGGGACGAGGCTTGCACGGGACAAAAGTGAAGCAAGTCTTGAGACGGGAGTGAACAGAGGAATGAATCTTCGAACCTAGCAGCGCACTTCTCTGCTAAGACCTGGGCAGGTACCCATCTTGGAGAGGCCAACGGACTAACTGGGTACCTAGTACTAGAAGCACAAAATGCTTAAAGTTGGCAATGCGCCGGCTTCACAGCTAGAGCCATCTGGCAGGGTGTCCGATAGGTGGCAGGCACCGAGCTCAGGGGGCTGGGGGCTGCAGGCACGGCCGAGCCTGTGGGGAGCACACGTTGGTCAGCTGGCATGAGGCAGGGGGGCCAGCGGGCAGTTGGCCTGGAAGGGCAGGTCCTTCATTTGTTCCACTCCTGCAACCCTGTTCGGAGGAGGTCCATCCCGTCCCGTTTTCCACGCCATCTCAACACAGGGCCATAAACTCAAGTGGGAGCCTGGCAGGCATATGTAAATAGTGGCCGAGAAAGACTGGGGAGCAGGGACAGCCATCCCCGAGGCCTGTCTGGTGGTGAGGGGAATGACAAGACAGCAAGTGGACGATGGTGACGGCCTTGGCGGGGTAGGAATGTCTGGCGGCTCGGACTGCTCCCGACTCACCGAGCCTCTCCTCTGTGCAGGTGGACATGATCTCACTGGCCAAGCAGATCATTGAAGCCACACCAGAGCGGATTAAACGAGAGGACTTCACGGGGCTGCCCGAGGCTGGAGCACCAATGAGGGAGCGGACAGGGGCCCTGGGGCTCAGCGAGACCATGTCCTGGCTGGCCAGCTACCTGGAGAACGTGGACCATTTCCCCAGCTCAGCCCCGCCCAGGTGACCAGCTCAGGAGAGCATGTCCAGATTCGTCAGGGCAAGCAGGGAGCGGGGAGGTCCTTCCCTGGAGCCAGTGCTCCGTTCTGGCCCGGGGCCCCAGCCCCCGAGGAAGAGACTGGTACCGGCTGAGGGGCTCTCAAGTCCCCCTCCGGGCTCTGTGGCTGGACACGCTTCACGGTGGGCCCCAGGACACCCCCTCTCCCTGTCCCTGCAGCGAAGTGCCCTTCGAGCGTGGTCGCCTGGCCGTCCCTCCCGCCCCTTCCTGGGCAGAGTTTCTGTCCGCTTCTGCCAGCGGCAAGATGGAGAGCGACTTCGCCCTGCTAACGCTGTCGGATCACGAGCAGCGGGAGCTGTACGAGGCGGCTCGAGTCATCCAGACGGCCTTCCGGAAGTACAAGGTCAGAGGCCGGGGGTCCCGCGAGATGAATCACAGCAGCCCGAGGTCAGGGGACGCGGTGGGCTCCAGGCTGGAAGTCTGAGGCTTGCTTCTCGCAGGGCCGGAGACTGAAGGAGCAGCAGGAGGTGGCGGCTGCAGTGATCCAGCGCTGCTACCGGAAGTACAAGCAGGTGAGCCCTTTCTCCCCTGAAAGCACGCCCCCCCCCCCCCCCGGAGCGCCCAGAGCGCTGCGGGAGCCCTAACCCCCTTCTCTCTCCACAAGCTGACCTGGATCGCGCTCAAGGTACTAGGCATGAGGTCTGGGTGTGTGCTCGTCCCTGATGAGCCGGCCTCTCCACCAGCGTGTGGATTAGAGACCGGCACCCTGCCGAACTTGGGGGCGAACCTCAGGGTGCTGGGGCTCTGTCCCTCCATTTCACCCCCTGTCCCCGCTCCCCGTCCCTGCAGTTTGCGCTGTACAAGAAGATGACCCAGGCGGCCATCCTGATCCAGAGCAAGTTCCGGAGCTACTATGAGCAGAAGCGGTTTCAGCAGAGCCGCCGGGCGGCCGTGCTCATCCAGCAGCACTACCGCTCCTACCGCCGCCGGCCCGCAGGCAGCCTGCCCGCCCGCACCAGGTACGGCCCGCGGACCCCCTCCCCGCCTTCCCCTGCCTCCCCTGCCAGGGTCCAGGGGCTGGGGGCGGGGGCGCCGGCGGGCCACGTCTGCTCATCGCTCCTTTCTTCCAGCAGGGGCTCCTTTCTCACCAAGAAGCAGGACCAGGCAGCCCGGAAGATCATGAGATTCCTGCGGCGCTGCCGGCACAGGTACCCGCGTCCCGGGCCGCTCCCCGCGGCCACCTCCACCGCCCCCCGCCCCGTTCCCATCGGCCGGCGTCCTGACCCACTCCCCGTCTCCCCGCAGGATGAGGGAACTGAAGCAGAACCAGGAGCTGGAAGGGCTCCCCCAGCCCGGACTGGCCACCTGACCGCCGCGCCGCCTTCCTCACCGCCCCGGGGGCCGCTGCTGGCAGTCTTAACCGAGGCCGGGCCCTCGGCGGGAGGGGAGCCCCCGTCGGCCGCTGTCCCGCTAAGCGGCGGCCGGAACCCTCCCGGGGCCCCCGCCCCGCTGGGGCGCGCCCCGTCTCTCGGCATCCCCACCCCCGCCCCCCGCCCCGGGCCCGCGCCCCACCTCCCCGCATCTTCAGCCGCGACCTCTGGAGCCCCGCCTGCCCCTGCTCCACGTTTCCCCGCTGCCTGCACCCGCCCCGGCCCCCTCCCGACTTGCCTTATTTATTTGTTGGACGCGTCTCTGAATGTATCCGCCTCGGTCCCGCCCCCGCCGCGCGCCCCCGCCCGACTCCGCATGCCGGCGCGCGTCCCCGTCCCGGGCCGCCCCGCCCCCGAGGGGAGGGGCCTGTACATACTGTAACATACAGAGCAGAGTGAAGAGTCTATTTACGGCGCCGCGGGGAGGGCGGCGCGGCGGGGGCCCCCGGCCGGCTCCACGAGCACTTTCTACTTGTGCATGGGCTTGGTTTCTACGAGTTACCATTAAACATCGCTGCACCAGCCAGCCTCCCGCCTCTGTCTGCGCCGCGCGGGCGGGCGGGCGGAGCCTCGGCGGCGGGGGACAGCGGGCGGGGCGCGGCCGGCGCGGGGCTCTCCGCCTCCGACGTGTTTCCGGCCTTAAAGGCATTTCGCCCTTCCCTTTAAGACGCGCCGCCCCTTCTCAGTCACTCCCAAGATGGCGGACCTACTGGGCTCCATCCTGAGCTCCATGGAGAAGCCACCCAGCCTCGGGGACCAGGAGTCTCGGCGCAAGGCCCGAGGTGAGGACCCCAAATCCGCAACCGCCTTTCTTCGCCCGGTTTTCAGGACCACACTCTCCCCCCTTCGGACGCTGCCGCCGCCTCAACCTTGAAAGACCCCCTCACAGGCCCCTACGGAGACCCCCAGAGTCCCTAAAAGGGCTGCCGGCCCGCCCGCTCTTGGTAGCGGGCGGTGATTGGCTACCTCAAGCCCAGCGCCGCCTCCCGCCTCTTCCCTACTGGCCTTCCGCAGTCCTTGTTTCCAATTCGCCGGCGAGCCCGCCCGTCCGCCGATGTCGTGCTCTGATTGGCTGGCTGCCTCCAGCCCCTGGGCGTTCCTCGCCCGCCCGCCCACCTCGCCCCGCCCGCGGTTCGGGGGGTGGGGTGGGGTGGGGGGCGTGCCCGGCCCGCGAGTCCTGGCAACCCCCAGCCGTATTCCGATTGGGTCCAGGGCACGCCCGTCCGCCATCCCTTCGCCTCTATTGGCCACCTTCACTTAGAGCTCTGCCCACGAAGTCTTGTCCCACCTTCCTCGGGCCCACCCCGCCCCCAGCGCCTCCTATTGGCGGCCGGGTCCTTCGGGTGCCCTGCGCCCCCTCCCCGAGCACCTGCCCTGCCGCGTCCCCGCCGCCCCTCCCTCGAGGTCAGCCTCCCAGCCCCCGGCTGCCGGCCGATCGCGCTACTGACTGGAGGGACAGGGACGCTCCTGCCCCCAGCGGCTCCCTTCGGGCGGGCTCCTCCGCGCGGGGGCCGGGATCCTGGGGTACCGTCGCGGATCCCGCAGCCCCGAGCGCGCAGGAAATGATCACCCCGCAGTTTGGTAGCCACCTTGCAAAATAATTGTCACGAGGGCAATGACCCAGGGGCCCTGGCCCGGTGAGCGGACAGAGCTCGGAGGAGATCGGGGACGTGTGCGAACTGGACACTGGAATTCGTGCTCTCCCTGACTGCCTAGGCGGGGCTCACCAGCGGCAGTTGGTGGACCAGGAAGCTGAAGTGCATAGTGTTAGGTACTCGCTTGAGGTCACAGAGTTACTAAGTGGTAGGGCTTTAAACCTGGCTTTAAACTGGAGTTAAGCCTACTCGATTTTTTTTTTGCCAACATTTTTTTGTTTTTTAACGTTTATTTTTGAGAGAGAGAGCATGAGCGGCAGAGGGGCAGAGAGAGAGGGAGACAGAATCTGAAGTAGGCTCCAGGCTCTGAGCTGTCAGCACAGAACCCAACTCAAGGCTCGAACCCACGAACCTTGAGCTCATGACCTGAGCCGAAGTCGGGCACCTAACCGACTGACCCCTCAGGCGCCCCTTGGCCAACATTCTTAGCCTTAATCTTACGCCACTTCCTCAGATGCAGAGGGACCCGTTAGAGAGCTGTCAGTGGTCAAGATAAGATGCACTGATGGCAAAGCCCCTGGGATGAGAGAAAGAACGCCTAGCCTGAGCTATCAGGCCCTGGGGCCACGGAGACTAACCGGATGGGAGGTGAGCAGGGCGCCTGCCCCCCAGCAGCCCAGAGTCTGGCCGGAGAGACAAATACAAAGTTACATTATGTGGGTTCTCAGCACCTGCTCTAGTGGCTGTCTGAACCAAATGTGCTTTGGGCCCAGAGGAAGCGGCAACTGTGACTCATGGTGGGTCTCGGTGTGCAAGAGGAGGAGAAGCACTCGAAGCAGAAGGAGCCACAGGTGCAAAGGCCTGGGGTGGCCAGGCAAGCGGGAGGCGGCTCGGGACAGCTACCGGGATTTGGTCCAAGGAAGTGGAATCAAGGGTGTGAGGGATTTGAGGTGGCCAGAAAGGGGCGGGGGCGCTGAGACCTGAGCTGGGGGAGCTCCTTCGCAGCTCACCTTGGACTTGGATGCCTGCGCTCCCAGAGGAGGAGGGGGCCTGTCCCTCCAGCGTCATCCTGTCCGTAGAAGTGAGAAGTGGGGGTGTCACAAAATCTAGGAAGTTAAATAATTTCCCCTTTCTTGCGTAGACGCTGTGACAGGAAGCTCTTGAAGGCCAGGCCCGAATCCGCTCTCCTGACCTCCCCAGCTGTCTCCCGGTTCCTCACGTGTCGTGGGCATGAAATAAATGTTAACCGGGTTCCCCAGCGGGGTTGGGAAACGGGACCTTGCTGTTCCTGCTGCACGGCGGGCTCTTGCAGGGCAGAGCTCGGTCCGTGTCTGTGCCACGGGACCTAGCACAGCGCCACGTACGGAGAACGTACGAACCGACGCTTGGCAGCAGTCCTCCCGCTCTCCCAGCGGGCCCGGGTCCCCTTGGCAGCCTGACGGACTCTCCCCGCCGTGCCTCCACCCCTGGCCTCACGCTGCCCTTTCTGCCCCCAGAGCAGGCTGCCCGCCTGAAGAAGCTACAGGAACAAGAAAAACAACAGAAGGTGGAGTTTCGTAAAAGGGTGAGGACAGTTGGAGGTGTCACAGGCAGCTTCAGGGAGGACCTCGGATAAGTTAGACTCGGAAGGTGGAGGACTCAGGTTTCCCCAGATGTCTCCGGGGAGGAGCCTGGAAGCCAGCGGCGTGGAAGCTGGGAAAGGCGTGGGGAGGCGATGGCCCGATGGCCCGGCTAGGGTGAGGGATGCTGGGGCGGAGCGGCCCTCCCATGCCGTTCTTGTCCTTCTCCCAAGATGGAGAAAGAGGTGTCCGATTTCATCCAAGACAGCAGGCAGATCAAGAAAAAGTTTCAGCCGATGACCAAGATCGAGAGGAGCATCCTGTGAGTGTCCCCGGCCTGGGCGGCTGGGCGGGGAAGGGCCAGCGGGGACCCGTGAAAAGGGGGTGCCGCCCCTCCCTCCCCCCCCCACCACCACCACGGTGCCGCACACTCTCCCCTCCGCCCTCCCTTCCCAGACACGATGTGGTGGAGGTGGCTGGCCTGACGTCCTTCTCCTTCGGGGAAGATGATGAGTGTCGCTACGTCATGATCTTCAAGAAGGTGAAAGGCCCGAGCTCCGCGCTCCCCTGTCGCGTCTTCGGCCTGTGTCCGCCCCCCCCCCCTCCGGGGGAGAGGCCTGGGGTGCCTGTGGACCCTTGACCCCGGCATTCCCCTGTCCCCAGGAGTTCGCGCCCTCAGATGAAGAGCTGGAGTCCTACCGTCGCGGCGAGGAGTGGGACCCCCAGAAAGCCGAGGAGAAGCGCAAGCTGAAGGTGAGCCGCAAGGGGCAGGCCCTGGAGCCTGCGGCCCAGCACCCCGAGTCAGGGCCCCTGAGCGCGGGCCTCCGTCTGCACCCCCAGGAGCTGGCCCAGCGGCAGGAGGAGGAGGCAGCCCAGCAGGGCCCCGTGGTGGTGAGCCCCGCCAGCGACTACAAAGACAAGTACAGCCACCTCATCGGCAAGGGGGCGGCCAAGGACGCGGCCCACATGCTACAGGCCAACAAGACCTATGGCTGTGGTGAGGCCCTGCGGGGCTGGGGAGGGCAGAAGGGAGGGAGGGAGCGCCGGACGGCAGGCAGGGGAGAGGCTGTGATAACGGGGCTCCCACCCTCCTCGCCCCCCAGTGCCCGTGGCCAACAAGAGGGACACGCGCTCCATCGAAGAGGCCATGAACGAGATCCGGGCCAAGAAGCGGCTGCGGCAGAGCGGGGAAGAGCTGCCACCGACGTCCTAGGCGCCCCAGCAACCGGGGCGGGCCGGGGACAGGGGGACAGGCTGCTGCTATTAGGACCCATCCTGGAGCCCCACCTCCGCACCGCCTCCCGTCCGCGGGCACCGGGCCGGGGAGGCGGGTATGTGACTTGTCACTGTCCGAGCTCGGACCCTCGAGTGGTGTGTGTGCGCTTGCGCGTGAGTGTGCGCGTGTGAATGCACAGGTGGGTATTTAACGTGTATTATTCTCCTTTCTCCTCGGAATCCCCACGGGGCTGGGATTACTTTACACTCAGTAAACACTGTTTGACCCGATGTCCTGGTTTGTCTGAACAGGGAAAGGGGGGTCCTGGGGAGGAAGGGAATTTTAGGTTAAGTGTGACTGGTGTCTGTGGAGACCAAGGATGGCCAGATACTGGTGCTCTCAGGGCAGGGGGGGATGGGGGAGGGGGTCCCGAAGAGGTACAATCTGTGGGGCACGCTCCCTGGAGAGTTTTCACTCTCTCACTCCCCCGCAGCCGGCCCCCCCCCCCCCCCCCGGGTGGGTCACACCCTTGGCCCCGCCCCGCCCCCCCTCCCGTCCCTGAGCTGGTTCCACGTGCCTTCAGTGCCCCTCTGGCTGCTACAGGGCACCCCATTCCCCAGCCTCCTTCCAAAGTGTGACCCCACACCCCCCTCTCCTGCCCTCTGGTCCCTGCCGGTGATGCGTCTTTCCTTCCCTTCCGCCCCGCCTGTCCGCTCAGAGACCCGCACCTGCTCACTCGCCACAAGGACCACACCGTGTCTGTGTTGGCACCAGCGTTTATTTCCCAGGGAGGGGCTTGTGGGCCTAGGTCTGTCCCATGGTGTCTTGTGGGGTCTCAGAGCCTCCAGCTTCTCACTTGGCCTTCGGGTTACGGAACTTGCGTCCGGCAAAGACGGCCTTGTTCCCAAGGGCCTCCTCGATCCTAGAGAGCAGATGAAGTCAGGGCTGTGCCTTCCTGCCCAACGGCCCTCGGCTCCCCTCGTCCAGGCCCCCTGCGCCCACTGCTCCCCCATACCTCATGAGCTGGTTGTACTTGGCCAGGCGCTCTGAGCGGCAGGGGGCACCGGTCTTGATCTGAGGAAGAAAAGGGAATTTGGAGGACCGTGTGAGGCTAGAGAAGCCAGATCCGGCCTGGCCCGGAGTGAGCTTCCCATGGTGGCGGTCCAACCCAGGGATGGGAACCCAGGGCCCCCAGGAAACTTGGGTCAGACGTTTGGGAGTCGTGAGTACCTGTCCCGTGCAGAGCCCCACCACGAGGTCAGCGATGAACGTGTCCTCGGTCTCCCCGGAGCGGTGGCTCACCATCACCCCCCAGCCGTTGGACTGGGCCAGTTTGCAGCTGGGCAGAGAGCATGCTCGATAAGGCCAACTGACCGGGGCCCCAGAGGGAAAACCAAGGGCCGGTGGGGCTTCTCCCTTCCATCTGGGGGAGGAGGCCCTTCGCAGGGAGGGGAATGACTAAGTTCTTGGGGAAGGAGCAGAGAAGGGGCGACTCTAGACTCTGAGTCTGGGCCCTGGACTGAGTCTGGGCCCTGGACGTGCTGGTGGGAAGGCAGGCAGGATCTAGGAGGGAGGAGTGGGGGCAGGACACGGCGGGGTCACCTGGGCGACGCTCCGGGGTCAGGAGGGTGGGGACGGGGCGGGAACCAGGGAAGGCGGACGGGACGTGGCTGGCCAAGCAGAGCTGGGGCGGAGGGAGGCCGCGGCCCCCTGGGGCTGGGAGGCACTCACGCCTGGATGGACTCGGTCACGGAGCCAATCTGGTTGACCTTCAGCAGCAGGCAGTTGCAGGCCTTCTTCTCAACAGCCTGGGCGATCCTCTTGGGGTTGGTGACCGTGAGGTCATCCCCCACGATCTGGATGTTAACCCCCGAGAGGAATGAGGTCCAGGTGGCCCAGTCATCCTGGTCAAAGGGGTCCTCAATGGAGACCACTGGAAGGGGATGGGAGAAGAACCGGGGTGAAGGTCAGAAGAGTTGGGATGGGGATTTCGACAGGGCTCAGGACAGCCAGGGGCTTGGGCAGGAGCCACAGGACGCGTGGGGGTCTCACCAGGGTAGTTCTTGATGAAATTCTTGTACAGCTCCCCCAGCTTCTCCCCCGTGATGTGCCGCGCGGGGTCATCGGGAGACTTGAAGTCGAGATCGTACTTCCCGTTGCGGTAGAACTCCGACGCCGCCACGTCCATGCCTATCACCACCTTGTCTGGGTAGCCAGCTGCCTGGATGGCCGTCTTCAGCAGCTCCAGGGCTGGGGGAGGGGCAAGAGGGCGCCTGAGGCTCCAGGGCGCCCCGTCTCTGCGGCCCCCTCCACTGTGGGGACGCAGGGTCCTGCCCCTCAGAGCTCACACTGACCTTCGTTATTCTCCAGGATGTTGGGTGCAAAGCCGCCCTCGTCGCCCACGTTGGTGGCATCCTTCCCGTACTTGGCCTTGATGACCCCCTTGAGGTGGTGGTAGACCTCGGCGCCAATGCGCATGGCCTCCTTGAAGGAGCTGGCTCCCACGGGCAGGATCATGAACTCCTGCATGGCCAGCTTGTTCCCGGCGTGGGAGCCCCCGTTGATCACATTGAAGGCCTGTAAGGGGGAGGGGGAGCTCAGCCCCGGGCCAGGGGCTGGGAGGGATCTAGAAGGAATGGGGAGGGTCCAGGTGGAATCCTGGCTCTCCTGATCACCCGCTGAGTGCTCTAGGGGGGAGTACTTTCGCTCCTCAAGGTCTCTTTCCTTGTTGTGGTAAGACAGGGATAACACCTGCTTACCTGCGGGACCTCGCACTGAAAATTACAGAAGCGGAACGCAGCATTCTCAGCCTGCAGCCGCCTCGGGCCAGGTAGTGACGCTGACGTGGTGGTTACCACAGCCGGCGCTCCCCGTGTTCTGTGAGCTCAGTTCATGCTCACAGCAGCCCTATCAACTAGGCACTGTGATCATCCCCATTTCACAGATGGGGAGACCGAGGCAGAGAGTGGTGACACACTCTTGCCTGAGACCACACAGCTGGTGAACAGGCAGGAACCTAGCGGCTCGTCTCCAGAGCTGCCCCGTTAATTAACGATAAGTGGCAACGTTATTAGCGAGATAAAATTCAAAGGGTTTCCAGCAACAGGAAATTGGGTTTAATAAGGATCAGGGGAGACAGAAAGAAATGCCGAGATCCTCGCCACGAAGAAGCACTTGATCTGCTCCGGGGGCCTGGGCTGGGACTAGACGCTGGAGCTCTCACTGAGTCTGGCACTGGAATGCGAAGGCACAGGGTTGTGCCAAGGGAAGGCAGCAGAGGCTTAAGGGAAGGCTTGGATTGTGGGAAAGAGGGAGGGGCTGGGCCGCGGCTGGAGACGTTCCACAGCAGGAAACCGTTTCTTTGGCGCTGGGTCTGGAAGGTAGCCTTTCCAGGGGCAGCTGGTGCCCCCCTCCCTGGGCGGGGCGGCTCAGCCACTGTGGCATCCGGCGAGGGCAGCTGCACTCACAGGAACGGGGAGGACCAAGTCCGGGTTCCCGGCGAGGTCTGCGATGTGCCGGTAGAGCGGGACCCCCTTCTCGGCCGCGCCGGCCTTGCACACAGCCAGCGATATGCCCAGGATGGCATTGGCCCCAAACTTGGCTAGAGGAGGCACGCACAAAGAGACAGTGAGAGCTTCTCCCCCAGCGTCTGGCGTCACCCCAGGAAGAATCTGGAACCCCACACCACTGGGCATCAAGAGCTCGTTAACAGATCTCTCCCCAGCCGCCCAAGGTGCTCTGGGAGCCCCCACCCCAGGGCAATGTGTCAGCCTCACAGCCGTGTCCACGGCCCGCCAGGCCCGGCAGAGGGCAGGCGTCAGGAAATGCCTGTGCAGTGAATAAAGATCCATCCAGCCACGATGTGCCCCGAAATGAGGGACACAGAGATCACCTAACCGAACCTCAGTTCTGGGGTCTCTCCCATCCCCCCACATCCCTTCCCTCCCCCTGGAGCTTGACTCACACTTATTTTCAGTCCCATCCAGCTCGATCATAAATTTGTCAACTTTTTCTTGATCCACAACACTTAGTTTCTAGAAGGAGAGGTCAGAGAGGGGAGAACACAGGTCACATGCGGGAGGCAGTGCGGGCATTTAGGGTGGACAGGACAGGACGGCTGGCCAAGCAGGGCCCCTCACACCTCCCAAGCAGGGGTGGCTTAGGGAGAGGCAGCTGGGGGGGGCGGGGGCTGCGGTGGGAAGCAGGCGCCCTCTTGCCTTTTCCAGCAGAGCGGGGCCTAGGGTCTTGTTGATGTGTTCCACGGCCTTCAGGACCCCTAGACAGGCCGGAGGAGGGGGTTCAGATCTCCGATGCCAGCAGGCCTCTTCCTGAGAGTTCCAGTGCCCTAGCCCCCTCACCCCCACCCCCACCCCCACCCCAAGGGCGTTGCGCGCCCAGTCCTGAAACCACCGCCCACAACAGGCGGCTCCAGCGATGGGCCGCCCTCACCTTTCCCCAGGTAGCGGGATTTGTCTCCGTCTCTCAGTTCCAGGGCTTCATAGATGCCCGTAGAAGCTCCGCTGGGCACAGCTGCTCGGAATCGACCTGGGCGGGTTGAATGGGAAGGTCACGTGGGGTCCCAGCTGCACCCAAGGGGCCGAGGTGTCCTCTCTGAGCCCAGGGGCAGGGGGCAGTGCAGGGGGAGGTTCCCGCTTCTCTGGGAGACAAGGCCTGGGAAGAAGTCCTGGGGGAGGGGATCCCACAGAAAGGAGAGGATGTGGAGCGGGACGGGGGAGGGGTGGGGTGGGGTGGGCAGAGCCCGTTGGGGCCTGTGTTACCCTTGGCTGTGTGCAGGTCCACCTCTACGGTGGGGTTGCCCCTGGAGTCCAGGATTTCCCGGGCAAAGATTTTCTGCATGGCCATGGCTGCAGGACAGGAGGTGTAACTTAGTGTGGACAGTTGATCTCCCTTAAGGAGCCCGAAATCCCTTGCCCTTTAAGAGTCTTCCCCACCCCAAGAAGGCAGGTGCTGGAGCTAAAAATACCCCACAAAAAGGTCACAGAGGAAGAGGCTGGCGCAGCCCCCTCCCCCACTCAGGGCAGCTCCTATTCCACCCCCAACCTGGGAATCCAGGGGCCCCTCCTAGAACTGCTTGGATTGTGGGCAGCCCAGACCCCCGTCCGCGCAAACCTGCACTGAGGCCTGATCCCTCAGCCTTCCCCTCGAGCAGTGCGCTCTCCCTGGCCCCGCTGGCCCTCAGACCCTCTTCTGCTGTTCTGGTTCGCATCTTCCCGCACCTCCAAAATCCGCGGGGACCCCAAATTCCCCACCTGGCCCCAACTCCCCCTCCCCTTTGCAATCCACCTCCACCTGCCTCTCTTCACAGCCTTCAGGGTGTCGTCAGTCCCTGGTCCTGGGCACCCCCAACCTGCGTGCTCCAACCCTTCCAATCAAAGCTTTCTCCAGCGGGGGAGGGGGGGTCCCAGGAGGAAGACACGCCTGACACAGCCCCCCCTTTCTCAAACCAGCAGCCCCCCTCCCCCTTCACTACCCCCCATCGTCTGGGACTGCAAGATTCGCCAGACCTGAGATGTCTCCGCTGGGGGTCTGGGGTGAGCTCCGAGTCTGGATGGCAGCTGGGACAGTGTCAGCTCACCCCCTCTCAGGCCGGGCATTTATCCCCGAGCCACTCTGTGCCCCGGCCAGCCCCGCCCCTCTTTCCCTCTTCGTCCTCCCCCCTCCGCACTGGGCTGCCAGCCAAGTGCCCACTACAGCCTAAATCAGAAGCCTTTGGCCCTGGGCACCTGCCCCCTTCCCAAAGGTCAATGACGACCCCTCCTTCCTCTGTATCCCTCAACACAAACCCCTACTTTTAATTCCAGCCCCGGGGAGGGGCTTGGGAGGGCCTTCAGATCGGGGGTCTCCCCCTCCCCGGGATTAACGTACCATTTTGCAAAGGTTAAAGAGGAACCAGTGCCCTTTAGCAAAGGCCAAGGGTAACCTGAGCCCTGCAGGGCTGGGGAGGGGGCCTGGAAGAGGGGCTGCAGGATTGACATCCACACATGCTCAGCTCACTTGGCAGGCGCCTGGTCGCCTCTGCCGTCGGTCGGTCGGAGAAGGGGCCGGGGGCGTGGGCAAGCTTTGAGGTGTAAACCCCCCACTCGGAAGGCGAGAGAGTCTCACCTCTCAGGGTCCTCATTGCGGCCTCTCTCGGCCGCACCCCACCCTCCCCGCTCCGAGCGGGCGAGGGGGGTGGGGGAGGGGGCGGGGAGACGAATTTAGACGGGCCCCCAAGAGTTGGCGCGGCTCCCTACTGATAGCGCTGGGACAGCACTTGTCGCCCAGCGTGGCGACTGGCAGACGGGGAGCCTCTCTCCCGGCCGACCTCGGGCGCTTCGGGGCGCGGCCCCCGCCCGCCAGTGAATGATGTTAACCGGGAGTGCACAAAATGAATGGCGGGAGGACGGGTGGCCCCTGCGGGGAGGTGGGTGTCTGCCGGGGCGCGCACCCGCCCCTCCCCCCACCCCCGGCCGCGCCCTCCCGGGATTTTTCCGGCCCGGGGTCGGGGGTGCGGCGGGGCAGAGGTCGGGAGCCAGCGGGCGGGGAGCGCCGCCACGTGCCCGAGCGCCGGCCCCGCCCGAGCTCCCGGTGACTCAGCCGCGCGGCTGTCGAGGAACGGGCTCGGGGGGCGTCGGTGCCGGGGGCTCGGGGCGGCCGCGCGGGGTCGCGCGCCCCAGGCCTGGGAGGACCAGCGGGACGCCCCTCCCCCAGCACCGGAAGCGGCCCAGCCCCTCGGCGCCCGGCGCGCGCGGGGCTGCCCCACCTGAGCCGCCGCGGGGCCCTGCCCACCGCTCCGCGCCGGGCGCCGGGTGCGCTCGCCGCATTAAGTTCTCAGCCGAAGTTTTACCGAAAAGAAGGAAAAAACCCAAGGGGGCCAAACGGGAAGGGACTTTCCCCTGACTGAAAAAGTTGCAAAGCGTGAGGCCTCTTGGTATTCTTCCGCTCTGAAAAGTAGTCCCGCCCCTCCGTCCCGCGCGCGATGACCTCGGCGGCGCCGGGTCGAGGGGCACGGCCGGGGGCGCGAAGTGCTCGGCCGGGGGGGGGGGGGGGGGGGGGGGGGGGCGCGGGTGAGGCCTGGGACCGGAGCTGACCCTGCGGAGGGTCATCCCCGGGAGCTCGGCTTGTGCCACTCGGGCTGATGCTAGAGACACGGGTGTCCCCGCGGGGATGCCTTGAGCTCCGAAGACGGCCTGGGTATTTGTCACATCCCTCTTGGCTCCCGCGCGCCTTAGCTGCCTATAGCCGAGCGGAGCAGCGGCGCCGCCGCCCCCTCCGGTTGGCGGGAGACACGTCCCCGGCCCGCCCGCCTCCGCGGGGGGTCCCGCCGCCCGCTTCCCCGCGCGCCCGCGCAGCCGGCCGCTGGCTCCAACCG